GGCTCTGATGGTCTGATGTTTGATTCATCCTGCCTTTTTACTGAACCAAATACAAAGTCAAAATCTTCTGTTTGCTATTTATAGCAATCAGCATGAACTCACAAATGGCCTGCGTGTTATCTCTATGCACGAGCCAAGGCAGGCCGGCGCTTAATTCATAGGTTTTAAGTGCACAGGCGACCGCAGTATTTCTTTTTTCCCATTGGAGTTCATTGCAGAAAAGCTTTCGATCTTTAATGCAAAAAAATAAGCATCTGACTGCTCGCAGAGATATCTGTGAACACTGTACCGAAACACCACCCCGGAAAAGAAGTCCTGTTTGCCATACCACTGATTGTATGGAATGTCTTCTCTACATTCCTGATTTTCGAATTCTAAATTTGCCTGCTCAGGTTGCTTCTATCTTTGTTGGCAAACGCAACAAACACACACGCTCACATCACATTACGTCAGGTAGCGCAGTGGCGTTACAGTAGACGATTTAATCTGAAGCGTCATAATGAGGACAAGTATAATGCTTATAGTGGTGGTATTGATAGTAGTAGTTGTTGTTATTTTCGTCATAGTGGCTTATTTGCTTGTACAGAAGCCTGAGGAGGGTCCACAAAAGACAGTCGTGTTTCTGTTCCTTGTTTTGTAAGCCAACCACTGAGTACCAATGCTCATGATCTCCGTCCTTGTTTTTTAAGGATTTCCCAAAGTGTGACCTACTTATAATAATGGGAACTTCCCTGACCGTGCTCCCATTCTCTGGCCTCGTCAACTGCACCAAGTCTGGCGTTCCGCGACTTTATATCAATCGGGAGTACTCAGAGGGTTCAAGCTCCGTAAGCCCCTTCTCCCTCTTCCCAGGGAACTGTTTTTCTCTGATTCCGTTACAATCATTTGTTTGCATAATCATTAGCGACTGAATCCACTTCAACCCTCTGTTACGTTGGTAGTGCCCAAGTTTTCCTTCCCTTTTGGAATTCTGCCTCTTTGATGATCATCTGTGTCGCCTCTATGGGCGCTGATCTGCGTCGGCAGTTGGGAGACTTGGGTGATAACTATTATGGCATCTTTTAACTCGCCCTTATCGGACTCGAGCCAGAGCGCAGGTCTTATCTAACCACGTGTAGATCGCGTGTTTTAAAAAGGCATCTGCGCGCTTACCGACCGACTGAGCATCGACTCTAAGTGCGGTCCGTCTCATTCGGGCTCAAGGTCCAGCACATGCATTGAACACACAAGCGAGAACTTTATCTAAGGTCAGCAACTGCACGTACCCTCCTATCCATTCCCCTCCACATTTTTTGTCACAAGGCTAAACGAGAGCGGGGTCCATGCTACGCAGGTCACCATTTAGGGGGATCGTCGTCCTGACTCTGGCGTGCCACGGGGCCCGGGGGGAGAGCGTGTGGCAGATGCGGCGCAAGTTTACTATAAATGCGGGCAGACGTAACAATGGTGGCGGATAACTTTTAAAATACACTTAAATGCCTACTAAATGTATTTCAGCAGGCGTAGTTTTGATTTGCTCACAGCTGGACTTGACTCATCACAATAGCCCTTGCCTTGATTCGGTTTGTTATCTTCTCAAGGTACTCAGAAATTTTGACCTATTGATTTCAAACTTGAGTGATTTGGCAAGACTACTACAACATCCTCGCCTATCATTTCATTAAAAAAGGTGGTAGTTGCGCAAGCGATAAATACACATATCTTAGCTCAGTGAGTTAGAAGTGATAGACGGGTTGCTTCAACTTAGCTACGACAGCACTCACACACTACACATATTGCGATGCACCCCAACACGGAAATTGTAGTTTTCGTACATATCTCTATGCAGGCTGTGTTGTGCCATTCAACACGACAGTGCTTCTTTAATGCGACCGAAAGCAATGTTTTATAACCGTTTCTAGGAGTCCTAGGCACTGACATGTTCGTATCATATCGTTCCAATTCATTACTGAGTCATACATTCTCTTTGAGTTTCTCTTATTCTTCTCGTTGCTTTAGTTATTGGCCTAAATTTAATTCGGATAAAGCATTTGAAATTGTCTATTCTTCAACTAACTAATCATTACTCAACTGTTACTTTGATTACCACGCATATTAATTAACTATTCTTTCAACCTAAATGCTACCCTTTAGTGAATCTAAATAGATTCAGTCAACGTTCCCTTTTTTATTTGCTTTACAAATTAACGCGTATGCTTAAATTCCGATGCCCAGTCTAGCTCCTTTCAGTCCCTTTCAGCCCGGGATTTTTGACGGGGCTACGCGGGGCTGGCGCTGGCAGTTTTTAAGATACCTCTAATTTATTTAGTGCTCTCTTTTTGATTATTTCGATTTATGCGCTCTAACTCCCCCCAGCAAACACCTGTCGATCGAATTTTGTCCAGGCTCGCCCGATTTATATGCTCGTTGATGTTAGTTCCCTGAAAACACTTCCCTGCAATCATTCTCCCCTACACCGAATATTCTATTCCCACTCTCAAAGGGTTTTCTTTCTTTCGTCCTGACCTGGCTGGTCGCTGGTTTCAAACGAAAGCCGCTGAAATGGGGCCAACCTGGCAATAAGACGGACGTCTTTGTGAAGAGCGACGCTGACAGTGCTGCCTTGCAGCTGGCGGAACTGCTGGGCTGGAAGGTAACTTTGTTTTGCCCTGGCACTTAAATCACGCCATTTTATGTAATCGTCAGGTTGCCTGGTTACGCAGGGTTCGACAGGGCTGACTAGCAGCGATCCATATTGCTTATTTGCTATTAACTCCATTCGTTCTTGGCACGCACGCACGCACGCGCTTTCTTCTTG